AGAGCTAAAGTCTAGCTAAAACATCCTGTTAACCATAGAGTTTATAAAAAGTAGAACCCGCAAATGTGGCCAAACATAGGCAGTAGCGGTTGGTGCGGCGTCTACTCTTCTACGTCCATGATGTGTGCAGGAGTCAACGTTGAGTCAAAGTTCATTCAGAAAAATTGAAAAGGGACTTAAGTAAAAGATTATACATTTTTTTATGTTTTGCACTTTTAATATTGCACTTTGAGTTTGCTACCTCAGCCTGCTTCCTAAGATTGTTTAATAATTTCCCATTAAAATTATGTTTTCCTCGTGTTATTGAGAATATACTGTAGGGTAAAAACTGCAGCTGGGTATGAGTGTGGACTGAACAGGTTTTTTAAATAAACTTTCCCAACACTGGGTTCCTGTTTGTTTAGCCTTCTGAGTCTCTCACCTTTGACCCCTGTTGTGCCTCTAGCACCATTTTCTAATTTTATAAGTTTCACCTATAGTTTTACATCTTCTTCACTTGATTATTACAGTTATTTGCATGAAGTTCTGGTTATTCACATGAATCAATATAACTTGGTTCAGAACAAATTACTGGCACTTCTGCTGGCTCCAAGGGTCAAGCCTGGAATTGCAGTTCATGCAGATATTATTTCACCATGGTTAAATTAGTATTTGGTTATTTTGACAGACATTACACCAGGGTGCACTGGAAAAGCTGCATTTTGCTGCTGCTGGTGATTTCCACTATTGTAAACAACCCAAATTGTATAATTGTGGTTAAAAAAAGTTTGAACCACTGATTGTTTTATTGCTAATTAAGAAAGCAGCCATGCACTTTGACCTTGGTTGCACTCACAACCATTTACTGGCTTTTTGTTCTTGTAGGATGTAAAGCTAATTTTCCAAACGGAGTCGGTTCAGAAAGATGTGTAAAGATGCAGATAGCAATTATTTACAACTCTTGCACAGAAACATGCTTCAGAATGACTGAAAAGGCCCTTTAAGTAAGATGTTCCTTGTTCCTGCAAATAGTTCCTAAGGACACATTGTTCTGACAAGTATCGTTAGCAATGACTAACTGAACACTTTTTTACTCAAGCTTTCAGCTCGTGAGATGGAAAGTGCAACTTGTAATCTGTCCATTTCCCCGTAAACAACTGCACTTAACAGGAGCAGGACTTGACACTTATTGAGGAGATGTGGAGTCTTTTAAAACGAATGAGTGAAATTCCCCCATCACTTGTTTTATGCATGAAACCGTGAGCAGACTGCCCCAGCAGCAGACTGAACAGGTCAAGTGTAATGGAGAAAAAGAAAGGTTGTAGTTGTGATTTCAACCTGGGCCCATATTTATTTATTCAGGAAAGGAAAGTGTGACATCGGTTTTACAGCACTCTGAGCTGCAAAGCTGAAATTCTGATGACCCCACAGTTTTGTTACCGCTCCGTCGTGGTACGAACTAAAATGCAGAGAACAGCAATACTTTTTTAGTCGGCTGTTAAGTATTAGGTAGTAGAAATACCTGATGGTCAGCTCTAAGCATAAACTTTCAAATGTAACTTTTACATTTATTTTATGTATTTATTTTTATACATAAAAATGATGATAATAATAATAATAATAGGTCTAAAATGCTTTTTTCTATAAGGGGGATACTTGAGAAAGGTTTAGATTGATGTTCTTACCTTCTTTTTTGAGATCTTTACTGCTTGAAATTGATCAAACTGATTGATTGTCCGGGATGTTGGATCCGACACAATCCTCCGTGCTGGAATGCTGCTCATTTCTCTTTTCAGGTTGAGAGGTGTCTGCAGAGACAAAGTGTCCAAACACAAGACAAAATCAAAAATAGCATAAACATGTTTTGCTTTTCTACAAATCAGTGTATTTTTAACCAACTAATTGTCTTCAAATATCCACTGCCGTCTCACTCAGACTATCCCTGGTTAGAACACCTCTAACCATTCATTTTCCAGTGTTTTCTTTCATTTTGCTCCAAGTACACAAACTGAGACCCAATCTGTCCATTTAAATTTGTTAAATAAAGATGGGATGCACTAACTAGATTACAACAAAGGCTGTCTTTTTGTATTGTCTTAAGTGCTCAGAGTCAAAAGTGAGTTCCTTAGTTTGTCGGAGAGGTTAGGGAACCACTTCAACATGCAGGGTGAGTTACACAAGTCACAACCTCTCTAATGTGATCCTCCTGTGCTGAGTCAAAAGGCAGCCGGTATGTAAAAGTGCTTCGCAGCACAAAGTCTTCATGACTTGAGCCGGTTTGGAAAAGTAGGCCACCCAAAACACAGAGAGACATCCAGGTAGCTGAGAGGAGAGTGCAAATCCCCTGGATTCATTATTTAAGGTGTGCTCCAGCGGGAGAGAGAGCATCCTAATTGTCACTTACTGAATCAAGTCCTTATCACTGTGTGCCTTTATAGTACTAAACCATACTCTGTTAAATTGCCTTTGCAGTGAGTGTATCCCAGGTGGGTATAATTATGAGAAATGCTCTCATCAGCTTTTTGGAGCAGATTGAAGGGGCTGGTGCTGTTGTGGCTGCTCGTTGGCATTTCATTCATCAATGAGTTGTTAAAATTTTAAAGCAAACTTTTTTTTTTCTCTGATGAGGACTTAAATAAATCATAGCCGTGGCTATAAATAGAGAGTTGCTAAGCAGTTGTGAAAATGACTTCATGTAATTATTTATGTTAAAGCAAAAGGAATTAATTATGAATGCCCTGTGACAAGCTAAACATTCGGGTGGTTGCTGAAAGGGGCGATGAATTTGGGTCAAGCTCACAGAGAGGCACAATGAGAGAAAAAAAAAACCTACCCTGTCTCTGTGATTAGAGACGGTGAGGAAAAGGATTCGATGCGGTATGTTTACGTGTGAGTGTTTGTGCGCATGTGTGTCAGTATCACTGGGGTTGGAAGCCCACATACCACCACATACATGGATAACGTGGTCCTTGTGTGAGGATAAGAACATGTTAACTCACATCCTTAATCAGCTCACCTCCGTATTCACATACCCAGTTCAGATTTGATCTGCAAGACTGAAAGACTCAACGTATAAGAATCTCATCTTCTTTCAGCCGTGTTTAGTTGCTTGCACCAAACTCTGTGGTGTTGCTATGGATACCAGACAGGTTACTAACCACCAAACATGAAAACAGAGCACAGGGGTGAGGATCATCCACAGTCCTTGATTGGAGACTTCAAAAATCTTGCCAAAAAATAAAGCTAGTTCAGCAGCAGGAGGAAACCTTCGCCTAACTGAGAGTGCCACAGAAGAGAGTGCGCTGTGATATTTATACAGTTATTAATGCATGGTGTAGCCGCCAGATCACTGCCTCTGAAGGCTGCTGCACAGCCAAGCAAGAGGCGGTGGAAGGTGATGGGGAGCAATTTATTGCGCTGGCATGTTGATGTCAAGCAACCAAGTGACTTTTATTTTATTTTACTTGTGTGTGTGTGTGTGTGTGTGTGTGTGTGTGTGTGTGTGTGTGTGTGTGTGTGTGTGTGTGTGTGTGTGTGTGTGTGTGTGTGTGTGTGTGTGTGTGTGTGTGTGTGTGTGTGTGTGTGTGGATGAAAAGACAAAAACATGCCTCAGATGTAAATGAGACTAGTTTAATCGAAATTACCATTAATGATATTTACCAAGAAAGATTGCATGCAAATGGTGATATTTCTTCCCCTCGCTGATTTGATGAGCATCACTCCCCTCTGCACATACTCTGAGCAGGATAATGTGTTTACAGCTGGCTCCGCGCGCCGTCCACATTTAGCTGCTGACTGACGGCGAGGCGGTGAATAAGTGATATTGGACGCCTTCAAGTGCAGTAGATTAGCGAGGAAGCTCTTGAAACAAAAAGGCTCCTTCTCGATTCCATCTCCTTCAGGACACTTAATGAAACAAGAGGCTCTCACATGACTGCTGATTGACTGACTTCACCAGTCTTCTGTGAATTCACTACATTTTAATGAAGCTGATGTTTAACATTCAGAATCCAGCCTCGATCTGCTCACAGTCACAGCTCATCAATGAAAAAAAAAGTGTCATGTAACCACTGAAAATGGATGTTGTGCAGGGAGCATTTCATGTTGCATAAGTGGCAACCTTATAAATAATCTGTTTATGAGTGTGAGAAACAAGAGCTGCTTCCCACTGCAATCAAAGCTGCAGAAAAACCTAACGCTACTCTATTTGCTGCAGACGCACTTTCCTCAGGTTGTGCTTTTGTCTTTTGCTGTACTTTACTAGAACCTACATTAAAATGCAACCTGGAGCAGGAGCTGCTTGTGGAGGGGGAAAAGCACGGATGCTTGAGAGGAGAAAGAAAACATGTACATGGAAACGGGAGAAGAATGTTAGCTTTTTGATCCCTTTCTGACAGTTAAGCCCATCCATCTCTTTTGAAGGAGGGGGTTTGGAGAGGTCATGAGGATGATTCAGCTTTCATCTTTAAAACACCTCTAATGTCTTTGTCTTGCTGCAGGTCAGGCTTTAATAAAGGCTACAGGATTCTGTTACTTTGCCAAGTTCCTCACATGCAAATGCCAACTATGAGAAGTTAATAAAACCTAAAGCTTTATCTGCATAATAGTCATCTGACAAAGAAAAAACAGAGTAATAAGATTAGTAATAGTAATAAGAGCAAAGCAAACCCCTAAGGATTGAAGCTTTTACAGGACATTTTGCTGCAGGACTAAAGAAAAGGACAAAAAGTTATTTTTTTTTTTACTGCAAGCTCATATTTAGTTAGGGGGAAATGCTAATGTTAGAATATGTTTCATCAGCTGGCTCACAAGTATTTCTGCTATTAAACTGGCCAGAAATGCATAGGAATCATTATTTAATTTATTTTAATTCATAAACAGTATTGTTACTCTTGTATTCTATGTATTCTCCTGCAGAAGAATAACGGTGCTTCACCACACAAACAACTTTTCTCTTTACATTTCGCTCCAGTTCCTCTGTATTGAAATACTGTTTTCATTTTTCCTGTGATTCCTTCTAGCTGTACATCCAGACAACCACCCTGACCATCTCCATGAACCTCAGTGCCTCGGTAGCACTGGGCATGCTCTACATGCCCAAGGTGTACATCATTATCTTCCACCCTGAGATGAACGTGCAGAAGAGGAAGCGTAGCTTCAAGGCTGTGGTCACCGCTGCCACAATGTCATCCCGTCTGTCCCAGAAGCCCAGCGAGAGACCCAATGGCGAGGCAAAGACGGAGCTGTGTGAGAACACTGCTGCTGACCCCATGAGTGAGTGCCACAGTGTGAGAACACGTAATAAAGCTACACACACACACACACACACACACACACACACACACCCTGGACTACTCAGGTTGAAATAGCAACATAAACACAGATATTGTCAAATAAATGTTGATTTATTAGCAAAATAATATGATATTGATTTGAAATTGTACTAATTGTAACATGCAGACATAACTTTTTTAACTGCTTGCTCAAGGGCAGCAGTAGTAGGTTGTAGGATCAATCCCGGCTCCAATGGATGTAGTTTTCACTTTAGAAGTGGGGGGACACAACCGGCATGAGGTGTGTGTGTGTGTGTGTGTGTGTGTGTGTGTGTGTGTGTGTGTGTGTGTGTGTGTGTGTGTGTGTGTGTGTGTGTGTGTGTGTGTGTGTGTCTTTACAGTATGTTCTAATGGGAAACAGGCTTCAACACAAACGGCTGTTATCCACTTGGTCCTAGAGCTCAACCAGTGTCTATTTACCATAGCGTAATATTGTTTTTGGATGGTAAAAAGTGCAGGGGTCAACATTTGACTTTGGAAAAAGTGAAGGGGACATATCCCCCCCATCCCCAAATTACATACATGCCGGCTCCCAACAGAGAATGCTGCTGTTGTGTCCTTGGGAAAGACACGTAACCCACCTTTCCTGCTGGTGGGGGTCAAAGTGACCGATGGCGCTTGTGCTCGGCAGTCTCACTTCTGTCCAAGAAATGACACAAACAGTTCAGATCAGAGTCAAAGATGTGTGTTAGAAGTTCCCATGACTCAAGAATGGATGCCTTTTTATTATTTCTCATATTTCCTTTTTTTACCGGAAAATCAATTTCACTGATTAAACTAGGCAGCTGGAATTATATGTCACATCCTCAGCAGAAGGCCGAGTTATCTTGTGTCCTGATTAGGTGCGACCTTTAGCTCAGGTTCAGGCTCATTTTAGTGAGCTGGAGGGGAAGTGGGGAACTTTCTATGAGGAGAGGGTTTAAGAAGCAGGGCTTTGTTGCAAAGAATTTAGGAAGATAATCTGTCTCTGATGCCGTGTGTGTTACTCATAGCACCCTTCATCTGAAACAGTAAGCATGATCCTGTTAGGAATGATAATACTGGGTATTAGTACGCGTGTGAAGGAGCCCACATATTCCCACAGTTAGAGGATACAGCATTTGTTTTTGTTTCAGGATCAGAAACAAATGCTAGAAAGAGTTTCACCAAGGAAAAACTACAAACTCTGCATTTCAAACGCGCGTAGCCTCGGAAGCTCTTTGCTCATCTTTAACTGTCAGGATGAAGACAGAAAAGATTGACAGTTCATGCAAATCACACATCACAGCTCCCTCACACTCATCTCCCACAACACCTCTAATCATGTTCAGCAATCATCGCACAGGTGCCCCATCCCCTCAAACCTCTCTGAGTTTATGCCTCTGGGGTAACAGATTTCCCTGGGATTTTCTCCCAACACCAAATACACTGAGAAACAGTTGTCACACTCATCTGTCACGGGTGCTAAAAGCTTCTACATGCAACTGTGATTTGTGCGTGCTCCTGGTGAAACTGAATGTGTGAGGTGCACACATGTCAGACTCTGAAAGATGGGGTGAATGTATCCTTGCCCGTCACACATGTGGCTCATTGACTGAACACACACGCTGAATCCAGAGCAAAATCCTAACATATGTTGCAGCAGCACGGAAAAAGATCCCCGAGCAGGAGACCCGACCTCTGGACGGAACTCCCAGTAGTCCACAAAGGCATCTGTTCCATGTGTCTCTCACCTTCTGTCTCTCCCTACATGAATATCTTCTCGCCTCAACCCTCCACAATGCACAGTCTCCTCCTCCTTTAGTCTGGCCCTTCTTTTTTAGCGACAGTGGAAGTGACATTTATTAATGGCGAATTTATGTGCATGACCGCCCTGAAACCTGAACTATGGCTCCACCATCCCTGGAGAATGTCCGTCAATTCGTGTAACCATCAGAGCGCCAACCACCTCCCTTGCAGGGCTCGTCAGCCCTGCGGGAGATGACTGCGAGTGATTTATAGAATTTAGAGCATTAGCATTTCTGCAGATTTACATTAGTTTTGATATGGTGTAATATCTTCATGATTACGCCTCTCAGACAAGAGCGTTTGCCCTGTAATTCTGCAGAATTGATTCAATGTCTGGGACAATTCATCTCAGTGGGCATGTGTGTGGATGCCTTTATTCTTCCTAGATTGAATTTATTTTAATAACCGTCTCGATTGTTGAATGAAAACCTAAGAAAAGCCACACATGTGAGGAAAGGTGCTGGGTGAGATTGCATAATCTGTTTCCAGTATGAAATATTTAAAGAATGGTAGAGTTAAATGAATCAGTCTCAGACTGGTAAACACGCACAAAAACACATCTCTCTCAGAAATCTTCCGGAAGACTGTTTCCAGCTAGAATCTGCTGTGCACTTACTGATGTTTTATTCATCGTACTTGTGAGCCGAGACCACAGAATGCAGCTGTAAAGAAATGGTGCGACTTTAATTGCATAGCCCATGGGAGCCGGTTGCCATGGCAACATTAAAGCAGCAGAGTGAGAATTAAGAGCAGCATCTGTGATTAAAAAAGATGTACATCGACCTCGTCCAGTGCACAAACATTACATTACACGGGCAGATACACAAGTCTTCCCACTCTGTGTCAGCGTGTTTCTTCACTCTGACTTTTACAAATGTCACCCCTGTCCAAATACTTATCAGAGCTTTGATATTAACCTTTAACCATGAAATAGTCTTCTTACAACAGTCAAAATGAGCAAAATGACCTGAGTTTGCAAAAATAAAAACGCTTTCACTCAGAAGATTTGAAACTCAAACTGGTTCTCATTATGAAAGCGACACAGCAGGACACACAAACACAAACGCCAGCTAGGCACTCGGCCACATTCTCATACGTTTCCATGGTAATCTAGACCGGGATCACATTGCATGCCCCAGCATTTGTTTGGTGCCTGTTTTTTGTGCTGTTTGTGATTTTTATCACTAGTTAACGTCTGAAAATAGAAACCGAGGCTTTGCACGGTGGCCGTGAAAGTTGAAGTGATACACAAGTTCAGAAAGTATTGCTGCTGATTGCACACAGCTGGTGATAAGAATTCACAGCACAGCAGAAACGACTTTGCCAAAGTGGATGATGTCTATTTACCTCTGCAGGCAGCTTTCTTTTCCACTTTCACTTTGATCTCTGCTCAAACAAAATCATTTTACTTTTTTTACTTTGTTCCACAGGTCAAGCAACCAAGAAAACATATGTGAGCTACAACAATCTCAGGATCTGATGTGCTTGGAAACAAATGCTTTGTTTATCTTTTTTTTTTTTTTTTTTTTTTTGTGATTGAAAAAGTGAAGGAAGCTGAAGGATCAGACAAAAAACAAACAGACAGAAATGCATTCCAGCACCACCTGCAGTATCTATGCACTCCAGGACTGTGGACTGCATCCAGCCCTCATCGAGACATGATGCATGAGTCCTAGCAGATACTAGCAGAGCTCCAGGCCTGTGTGGCTGGGTCGACCCTCAGAAACAAACTGCGGGTCGTAAACTCATGTTGTGGCTCCCTTCATTGCCTCTGACGGAGGACAACTTGCCTGCTAAAAGGGGTCACTGTGAGGATGAACACAAAGCCGGACAGTGGATTTGCTTCAAGATATTTTCTTTTGAAATGCCATTAAAGCCATATTCTCTTGGGGGTGTCCATTATCAGATTTCTGTTCTGTATCGTTTGGGTGATTTTCTTCTGTGCCTCTTTTTCTCTCTTGGACTTGATTTAATTACCTTGAACAGCGACTCTCTGCCACACACAGTATTATTGTTATTTTTTATTTTTCGTTTTTGTTAAGCAAATTCAGATTGGTCTCAGATGACTTTTGCGTTGGAGATGGGCATTGTGAGTATATTTTTTTGTAAATATTTGAGAGTATTTTCATGTTTGGAGAACACAAACTATCCAGTCTTTGTTCAGTTGGATTTGGATGAAAAGCACCACAAAGTGTCCACTTTGCATGTGCCAATGTATGTCTGTTCTATTTGATGTCAACTCAAATAAAAAGAGAAAAAAGAGAAGAAAAATAAATCCAGAAAACGATAATGAGCTTGTGCATCCTTCTGCGGTTTGTTTCCTTTATCAGGTGTGAACTTTGTTAAGTTATGGAATAAGACTCTAAAGTGTATTTGGAAGCATGTTTGTTTTCTATGGTTTTGTACCGGGTCTAAATAAGGGAAGAACTCGCATCAGCAGTCATGCAAGTATGTTGTGATGTCTGTCCAATTATGAAATGTAATAAAAACATTTTGTTATTGTTTATACAATGAAACTGGACACCTTATCATGGTGATTTCTGTGCACAGGTGTTTGTCTGAGTGAGACTGAAGCAGTGTGTGGATACGCGCAATCAAAAGCTGCTGTGTGTGTTGGAAACGGCTTCTGGAGGCTGATGGAAAATGCCGTGTGCTCGCTGGTTTACGGTCTCCTGCCTTGGCGGAGCACATTAATGAGCTCACTGAGCAGTGATGGAGCCTGTGGAGAGGACGAGGTGTCCACCAGCTGAATCCTTCACCCACCCTCTGCTCTTTCGATTTCACCCTTTGTTTCTCTTTCTCACCATTGCTCTTTCCAAGTTTCACCACCAATCATCAGCAAGACTGATACAATATGTCAGGTCGATTTGTAATGCTGATGACCAGGCCGTTACGCGCTAACTGCTCTTTATTCCTCCCCCTGCCTACAAGCATTACGTTAATACTTTCAGTATTGATCGTTATTTAAAATTATGAATCGGCCACGCATGAGAAACTTCAGTGTCTCCAGCATGTAAGCCTCTCCCTCCAGGCTGTTACACGAGTGATATATGACCAACAGATGACAACTCAGTTGTGTGTGTATGTGTGTGTGTGTGTTTGTGTCAAAGGGAATAATCATGGAGGAGGACAGGGGGAATGATGTCCTTCTACACACAGGTTTTCTGTTGTTTCTTTTTCTATTTGTCTGGCATCCCTTTCAGCTCCTGTGGGACCAGATGGTCTTCACTTCTCATACGCGCAGTCTGTCATTTTTTTGTAGCACACAGCCAAGAAAAATCCCACTTATACCCAATTAAGACTAGCCTCTCCCCTGGCAAATTAATTGCCCATGTCAGAGTCTGTGTGCAAGTAATCAGTAGAGGCTGAACAGAGTTTAGATTTGCAGCTCAGCAAAATAATAAAACTAAAAAAAAAAAAAGAAAAGAAATGTTAAATAGCTCAAGCAGTAGATCTTTGCACCTTAGTGTAATAAAACAAAAGCTGAAGAATCTTTTAAAAGCCAGGCAGAATGGGTTTTATCTGCCTAAAATAGCACGAGGCACGGACTCCTCCTATCTCTCAAGGCTCCTACGTAATGGCCCACCTGCTCAGTGTGCACCTGCTCTGTAGGCAGCAGTTTCCTGAGAGAATCAAACAGGAAATACATCAAAGGAAGGAAACCAATCATAGACGACCGTGGAAGGCAAACTGCTCTGGGAGAACTTGTGTTTCTAACTTAAATAACTGTCAATAATGCCGTTTGCACATTACATACATCCATCTGTGTGTGTGTGTGTGTGTGTGTGTGTGTGTGTGTGTGTGTGTGTGTGTGTGTGTGTGTGTGTGTGTGTGTGTGTGTGTGTGTGTGTGTGTGTGTGTGTGTGTGTGTGTGTGTGTGTGTGTGTGTGTGTGTGTGTGTCCTGTTTCAAATCAGGCGTGAGGCATTTGAACCTCAATGGTTTATTTTACAGACTCCTTTAAAAATTTGAGCAGCCTCACCAAAAGTTCTAGCTCCTAAGAGCCGTTGAGTCCCACTGTTGTCAAAAGTGTCCTCGCTGTCAAAAGAATTAGAAGACTGCATGACACAGTTAGGATGACAAGGTGACACTGCTGCTCAGAGAAAAGCACATTTCAGTGAGCGTCTCATGTGACATGTAAAAGTCCCAGCACCAAAAGGCTCGGGCTTTTCTTCTGTCTGAGTTTTTGTGTCACTTTGGTCCAGCTCCGCCTTTGAGGGAAGCCTTCTTTATCTTGTCAGGGCTCCTGATGCGCTCTTTCACAGACAATTTACTGATGCTGAGGCTAGATTAGCTCTGTTTCATGGCTCCTGGGCCTTAGGCTCTCCCATCTCTCCATAAATGTCCAATTATCCAAGTGCAGCCAGAGTGAAACCTTATCTGCTTCCCGTCAGTGACCAAGTGAAGCCTTATATAACACAAGGTGCATAAAGACACTCTTCAGTCTTCTGATTTTCTCCCTGCTGCATCCTCTACTTGACTTTTTGTTCTCACCGCGTGTTTTCTGTTCTTTGCATTTTTTTCTGATTCTAGGACGTCAGATAAGCTAACGTTAACATCACACACTGGCTACATGCCTTCATAATTACCGATACAATAGGATAGCCATCAGTTACATGTGACTCACCTAAGTCTCCTTACAGCCCTTAGTTAGCATCTGAAAGAAGCTCAAGAGTAAATTATGTATGATTGTCATGCTGTTTGTTCAAAAGTGCCTGTAGAACTGTTCTGAAATGCTTCTCAATGTGGCAGTCTGGGGTCCAGCTCTCATCAGGTTGTCCACAAAGCTGCACCTCCTTACACACCTGGGCTTGCACATTACATCCCGTGTGTGTGTGTGTGTGTGTGTGTGTGTGTGTGTGTGTGTGTGTGTGTGTGTGTGTGTGTGTGTGTGTGTGTGTGTGTGTGTGTGTGTGTGTGTGTGTGTGTGTGTGTGTGTGTGTGTGTGTGTGTGTGTGTGTGTGTGTGTGTGTGTGTGTGTGTGTGTGTGTGTGTGCGTGTGGGAGAAAGAAAGAGAGAGTGTGTGTTTCTAATAGTGTTACTGCATTTTTAATCAGCGGAAGAGACCAGGCATCATTCTCGTCACATTAGTGTCTCCTGGTATTTATTCGTATCTCTCACCACGTTCACCCCGGGGGGAGGGAGTCGGGTGGGTGGAGAGAATACATCTGAAATTTGCTCATTTGACAGTCATTAGAGATATGGATTCTGACAGTTCACAATTAGCTCAGTCACCTCCTTTATCTTCACTCATCTGAGGGATCACCGGCTGAGAGACTTTTACTCCTCACTCTGAAAGCCTCTCTGTCTCATTGTCCAATCTCCTTTCCGTCCAGAGTTTTTTTTTTTACAGTTATTATCAAGAAATCACAGATCCAGCTTTATGGATTTAATCAACTGCTGTGTAATTAACATGACCGAATGAGATTGATGCTCTTGAGATGGTTTCCAAATTTCCCCTGCCGATGAAAAAAGCTTAATTGTGATTCTGTTAAATATTGGTTTTGACCTGCCTGCATGTAAAATCAGAAACTTGTGTTTGGATTAGATAGAATACCAATTTTTATTGTCTGCCACCTATAGGTGACAGCTGAGTGTGTGAGTTCATGTGTTAGCGTTACCACTGGATGGACTGAAATGAAATTACCAAAATGTAACCTTTGGAAACTGATTAAATTTCGGAGTCATATTTAAGATGGCTAACACAGCTAATCAACCCAAGCCGATGCAAGATTGGCTATAATCAAGGGCGTCAGTTTGTTTTCAGAATTGCTGGGGACAATAAAGTAGGCTAGCACAGGGGTCGGCGGCTCTGTAGCCGCATGCGGCTCTTCCATCCATCTGATGCGGCTCTCTGTGCTTGTAAAATAATGAATGGATATTTAAATAAAATGCTTTTTATTTTACTGCATTAATTTTACACCTGTAAGCTAATTCTAAATGTAAAGATTGTCTGCGTAAACCTGAACAGTTCCAACCCGGTCTTACTGTGAGACCGGGTTGACGCGTCACGCTTGTGCGTAATCATAGGCGCTTCTGAGCTGCTTTCTGACCTTCCCCACCTACAAAGTTTAATTACAACAATCAAATGTGACAGAGCCTGGATTTGTATTCTGAACAGTCTAAACATGTTTTAAAAAGAAACGTATGACAAAAGTGGCACCTGCTCAGTAAAACCACCAACAGGGTGAAAAATATCAAAATATTGTAGGCAGAGACAGGCTACAACTTCTGGATCCACTTTATAGAAATCGTTTTATTGATTATCGTCTTATGAAAGATAACTTTGACGTACACGAGCGACCAGGCGCGTTGCAAACTTTTCAAAAATGTGGGGGATGTCGTCTGTGCCTAAAATAAGTTCATGTTATTCATCTTGTTAGTTTAATTTCCATAATAGCAGAGCAGGTGCGAATTTTAGACGCGCCAGGCATGTCTCCGTTTTAAACATGTTTAAACTGTTCAGAATACAAATCCAGGCTCTGTCTCGTTAGATTGGTGCAACTAAAGTTTGTACTGAATGAAACTTTACATTAAACCATGTTGAAAAGAAAAGGATCCGATTAAATCGTTTCCCCCTCATTTACAGTGACGCGTGGCTCTGGGGTTAATCAAGTTTAATTGTTTCTCTTTGCAACAATCTTCACAATAAGGCAAAACAGTTAAATGACAGGTTACAGATATTTCCATTTGACTGTTTATTTTGACGGATAAACTCAAGGATGCTGGTTGATTTCCTCCCACTGAAGCGGTCTGGAAACCCGGTCTCTCTGAGGGATGTGTCACTTGGAAAAATGTTATTTTTATGAAATTATGAAACTTTGGCTGAACAGTGCTTGTTCCCATCTCTAATATGGAGACGCATGACGCATCCAGTCGCCTCTTCAGCTCAGAAAGCACCTGTAGAGACATTTGATCACGCACAAAGTTTATGTGGAGCAGAAGCAGTCGGGCCACGGCAGGTGAAATGTTCCTAGCCTACATGAAGACACACACACACACACACACACACACACACACACACACCAATTAAAATAATGCTGATAGCGTGGACTAGAAGACAGGTGATGGTTTACGTATTTAAATGATGATCAGGCTGCTGTAAAATGTAATCTCCATCCACATCCAGACACAATTATCCTCTATTCTTTCTCTGTTTGCTCTGCTCTTGTCTGGGCTGACGTAGCTGACGGTGCGCGCGGCGCGCCTAACTAGCGGCTGATGCACATTTTACGCATTTGGAGAGGTGGGCTGGATGCTTTGCTTGTACTGGAAGATGGTCCACTTAACGCACGGCTGTAGACTACATATGAATGACAAATGAATGAAAATTAAATTGTGAGTTTTTACTTCATATTTTAGAAAAAAAAATGACGGGGGGAAACATTTATGACGTCTTTTTAAACGAAATTTTCTAGCGCGACCTGCCTGCTTCACTTAAGTCACTGCTTATTAAGGTCTGTCCAGAATTACCGTGGCCCACCCAAAAATGAAAACCTGGCGCTGCGCCTGTTATAACCTC